TCTGGACGTACTTCTTCCTACTTCACAAGTTGTTCAGTGCAATTCTCATAACAGATGAAACACAACAGTTGAAACAGACATACAAGATTACAAAGTCTACAAGCATGGACAAAGTTTTCTCTTACAGCCCCTGCAATGCCCAAGATAAATATGTACAAAGTAAATATCAGCCAGATGGCTTTTATAATAGGGTAGAAAAAGTAAAGGTAATTCGAATTATACAGGACATGATTACGTGCCTAATTAACTTATCAGAATAGAGTATGTTATTAGAAGTATTGATTTAGTTGGGGAGATGGCTGCACTAATATAAGAACCTGAGCTTGTATCTCCAGTGCTCACGCATAACTGCGCACAGTCTCCCAGTGCTCTTATGGGGAGATGCAAATGAAGGCAGGAGACTCCCCAGCAGCTGTGGACCAGTGAGCCTGAGGTATGCAGCAGCAAACAAGGAGACCCTGTCTCAAACAAGGTGGAAGGCAAGAACTGATAGCTGAGGTTGCCCTCCCATCTCCACATGGGCGTCATGGTATACAATGTGTATGTACACATCCACACCCATACCAACACTAGTTTCTGGTGTTTGGTTTTTTTTTTTTTTTTTTTTTTTTTTAATAAAAAGAAGAAATGAGCCTGGCATGGTGGGGCATGCTTTTAATCCCAGCACTCAGGAGGCAGAAGCAGCCAGATCTCTTTGAGATGGAGGTCAGCCTGCTCTACATATTAAGTTCCAGGCCAGCTGAGGCCACAGGAGACCTTGTCTCAAAAACAGACACACAAAAACAAAAACAAAAAGAAGAAATTGTTGATTTAAATGTGATTCAGATGAGGCCTCCTGGGTCAGATCAAACAACCTAGCAAAAAAGAATCTTGTCTAGGGAACTGGAGACATGGCTCTTACAGAGGACCTAGGTTCAGGTCCCAGTACTTACATGGCAACTAACAACTGTCTATAACTCCAGTTCCAGGCCCACTTCTGGCCTCCGCAGACACTACACAACACAGGTACATTTGATTTATATACATGCAGGGAAAACATACCTAACAGAACCAAAAGGGTCTGGAGAGATGGCTCAGTAGTTAAGAGCACTGGCTGCTCTTGCAGAGGACCCTGGGTTTGGTTCCCAGCACTCATAATGTCAGTTAAAAACTGCCTATAACTCCAATTCCAGGGGATCCGACGCCCCCTTCTGACCTCTGTGGGCAGTGCATGACACGGGTGCATTTACATGCATGCAGGCAATACACTCATACACATTAAAAAAAAAATCCAAAAAATTCTGTCTGACTTTGGTACAAAGGTGTGTATTATAGAATAAGCTGGTAACTACTCCAATCGCCTTCAAAATTTAGTCTTTTACCTCACACTCACCAAACATTTAATTAATTGCCAATGTAATATGTTTAAAGTGATACTACTCTATAAAAACAAAAGATTCAAAGTGCATATCTTACACTTGTCCAAAATTATCTTTCAAGCTATAACCCCTGATATCCTAGACTTTGGTGAGGAACTCTCTATTTCCATTAAGACACATTTCAGAATTTTAGAAACAATTGTTTTAGGATGGTGTCACCAAGCCTGACTCTCTGAGTTCCATCCTCGGGGCCCACAAGTGCATGTGTACACATACACAAGAAAGGAAGGAAGGAAGGAAGGAAGGAAGGAAGGAAGGAAGGAAG